TGGCAGTTTATATTAAGTCAAAAAGTTTTGTGGTTCATTGTAGAATTAGTCTTTTGTCATTCTGACAAACCTAAAGATCACAGGGGTCATGGTATAAGAAAGTCACTTGGAGTTACTGCTGTGAGGCCTTTGATCCACCTTTTGTGGCCTGAAAAGCTGTGCTGCTCCAAAGGCTTCATGATTATTTATTAGAAGATCTTATTTATTAGAAGAGTTGATATTATTTCTTAGATGGCCGAAAAGCAGAGTCATGTGAGGGGACCCGAGGTGGTTTCAGGGCATCTCCTGTGAGCAGCACCCTACAAAAAAAGAAACAAAAAGCTGCACACCTTTCTCCAGAGATGGAGGACTGGCTGGTTTTGAAGAAGTACCTGAATAATAAACTAGATTAATTTTATTGCTTTTGCTCATTTGTGTGAACAAATAGTGCTGCATTAATGAGTCTCCAGATTAAGTTTTAAATGGCATTTTGCTGAGTTGGGAAGAAGTGTTTCTCCTTATTTGATTGTCATGGTGTGGTGTGCACTGTTCATTCCCACAGGCTTTGGTCCTCTTAGATGTCACTCCTGACCAGTCAATGGTGGATGAAGGAATGGCTCGGGAAGTCATCAATCGCATACAGAAACTTCGCAAAAAGGTTAGTTTGTCAGTTAAGAATGAGCTACTATTTTGGCATTTTATTTTGGTTGTTGGGGGAAGATAGGAGAGGCAGGTAATACAAACCGTAGTGATCAGTGCATGACAGTCACTGATCTACAGTCTGTTTGGATTGTCTTCTGCAGGAAAGTCACTCCTCTTCCCCTCCCCACATGTTCACTCCCAAGCTGTAGCTTTGAGCCAACCTGTGCCTTTTCCCATCCTTTTTCAGCTCCATTGGGCTTCTGTGATATAGGCCCTGTGACTGGGGCAGAAGGTAATCAGAGATGGTAGCATCTTTGCAGAAAGGCAGAGCTGCAGTCAGCATAGACAGGCTTCTGGCTTAGAGGAGGTTCCTGGGTCTGGACAGAATGGGGTAGTTTTTCCTCATTAGAGAACTGAGGAACACACGCAGAGCTCATCCTGGAGAGCCGAGGGGCTGCCAAGCCCCTGCCAGTGAGAGAATCAGGAATTTCTTGCCCTGCAGAGGGCAGTGACATCTGCCACACATCTTGATTCCCAGGCGGTTCAGGGTCTGAGGAGGCTGCTCCAGCAGATAAGAGGGTGCTTGTGACCTCCGAATCAGTTCAGAACTTTGTTAAGTGGGTCCTGAGTTACTTCTTGGTTTCAAGATTCATGAGGCACTGATTGTGTCAGGAAAAGAAACATGCCCTATCCCCAAAGAGTGGGGGAAAAGACACAAAGTAATCCTGTACTGCAGTGCAGTTAGTCTCATAGATCACCCAGCAAAGAGGGACGAGTGATCTGCCCTTCTGTGATGATTCAGCATGGGATCCATAGCCCTTGTTCAACAGTACCTTCTTTTAAGTTCTGATTAATAGAATGTACTTTCCTTTTAAAATTTTATGTGTGTGCTTTCAGTGCCATCTGGTTCCAACTGATGAAATCACAGTGTATTACAACACGAAGTCTGAAGGAAGATATCTGAATAACATTATTGAAAGCCACACAGAATTCATATTTGCCACCATAAAGGCTCCCTTGAAACCATATCCAGTTCCTCCATCAGATAAAATCCTTATTCAAGAAAAAACACAGGTGAGTGCTGAGTTCCACTGAACTGCTGAAAGGTTTCAGATTAGGTTTACCTCATGTGTTCACGTGTTGATATTCTGTCCCCAGTAGAGATTGGCACAGCACTCAGTCTGGAAGTATTGCTCTGGACAGTAGTGGGTGGAGCTAGAGAGAGGAAGCTCAGAAAAGATGGAGGGGGGATAGAAGGCAGAACTGTTCTCACAACAGTTCTCTTGAGGAAGGTAGCCAGGAGAGTAGATGAGCTTTGCCCAGAAATAAAATGGCTATGTGGGCCTGTTTTTCTAAAACTGGCAAAGTCAGTGTGTGGATTCTGGTAATCATCATTAAAAGTAAACAGCAATTGGCTTGAAAAACATTTAATTCTTCTGGTAGTGGGTTCTCCATAAAATTACAATACCAAAAAAGAAAAATCACAATAGCATTTTCTGTTGTTATATCTAGGAATTTTAGATATACTTATGAAAGTCTGATATTAAGGTAGGGAAGATACTGGCTTATAACTTACAAGTAGATCATTTAGGCCAAACGCAGTGGCTCATGCCTATAATCGCAGCTAGTAGGCATGCTGAGGCAGGAGAATCATTTGAACATGGGAGGTGGGGTTTGTAATGAGCCAAGATCACATCACTGCCTGGGCGACAGAGCAAGACCCTGTCTCAAAAAAAAAAGAAGAAAGAAAGAAGTAGATCATTTAAAATATATCTCAGTGACTTATTTAATTATTTTCTCCTGTCTCATTATTTCTATGGGACAAGTAGGACAAGACAAGAAGGGGCTGACCGTGGCTGTTTATCTTTTTAGTGAGGCGAGTTGTAGTCTAGTTTCATTTTCTGTTTTGCCTGTTATGTAATTTTTTTACTTTTTCTTAAGTGAGCATATATTTTTAAGAGACCAGAATAAAAGGAGAAGAAAAATAGGATATAAATTGTAGCTTTTGACTCTTTGAGTAATGAGATTGAATATGTTCTCAGTTGTATACAGCCTTTGTTGTTATTGAGAAGTCACTGTTTTACATGTTGGTGTGACACATTGCAGTCAGGTGCCGCAGTTACTCAGCCATATGTTCTCATGTGCTCAGTTGAAGGGATCCGAACTGGAAATTACACTTACCAGAGGATCTTCCCTTCCTGGTCCTGCTTGTGCATATGTCAATCTTAACATTTGTGCAAATGGCAGTGAACAAGGTAAGAGTAAATTCTATGATTTGTATGACTGTTTTTTAGTCAAACCTGTGGATGTGAAAAAATAACCAAAAAAATTTCTGGATGTTTTTAAGGGAATTTGAATAATTATTTAATAGATAACTTTTTCCTCTTAATTGTCATAAAAATGAATTCACTAGGTGAGATGCAGTGGCTCATGCCTGTAATCCTACCACTTTTGGAAGCCGAGGTGAGAGGATTACTTGAGGCCAAGAGTTCAAGACTAAACTGGCCAAAATGATAACACCCTGCCCCAATTTAAAAAAAAAAAAAGGCCCAGTGCGGTGGCTCACGTCTGTAATGCCAGCATTTCGGGAGGCCAAGGCAGGTGGATTACTTGAGGTCAGGAGTTTGAGACCAGCCTGACCAACATGGTAAAACCCCATCTCTACTAAAAATACAATAATTAACCAGGTGTGGTGCCAAGCACCTGTAATCTCAGCTACCCAGGAGGCTGAGGCATGAGAATTGCTTGAACCTGGGAGGTGGAGGTCACAGTGAGCCGAGATATTTTTAGGCAATAACTGCTGTACTCTAGCCAGACACCATAGAAAAACTATGGTCCCACCACCACCCATACCAGCAAAGGCCAAGTAGGGAGCCTGGACTTCACCATTGACAAGCTGAAGACCTCTCTCCTGTCACAGGGCTATCAGAGAAGACCAAGTAGGTAGCTGGGTCATCCTAGTGGGGCAGTAATGAGCCCCTCTGCCCAGTGGTATCAGTGGAGGCCACATGGGAGGCCTGAATTTCTATCCCCTTTGGGCAGTAACAAGGCATCCTTCCCATTCACAAATGCATGACAGCAGTGAGGCCGCATACTACCAGCACCTCCTCTGCAGTGTCAGTAAAGGTATGCGTGAAACCCAAACAGGGTAAACCCAAAAGAATCCACTTCAACATATATCATAATCAAACTTCTGAAAACCAAAGACAAAAAAATGTCTTATATGCAGTGAAAGAGATATAACACCTAATTTAGAGGGGAAGAACAATTCAAATGATACCGGCTTTATCATTAGGAACTACAGAGGCCAGAAAATGAAAAGGCAGCATTTTTCAAGTGCTGAAAGATAAGTATTGTCTACCAAGAATTCTGTATCAATCAGATATATCCTTCAGGATGATGGGAAAAATCAAGACATTCTCAAATGAAAGAAAACTAAGAATTTGTTGCCAGCGGACCAGTCCTAAAAGAGTAGCTACAGAAAGTTCTTAACACAGAAAGGAAATAATAAAGGGGGAATCCAGACACACCAGGAAGGAAAAATGGGGAATCAAAATAGAGGGTAATTCAATGTCCTTTCATGGGTGCAACAAGCACTGTATCATTGTTTGATGTGGTTCTCTATGTACACTGAGGCTTCAGCATCATCAGTGGGTTCTTGGGTCCTGCAATTTTAAGTGAAAGGATGTACTGTTTGCCATGGGAACTTAACTCCTGTGGTAAAGTTGGTTTATTATACAGTATATCATTCTGCTTAAAGTCAGTTTCCAAGAACCTACCAGCAACATTAAGTAAGGACTTACTGAACAAGGAATAGTTAAGACAGTTACAAAGGAGACCAGGTTTCTACATTTATCACAAACTGGTAAAATATTGACACCAATGAACCTTAGGAAGTTATGTTTATATTAGGTACTACTTGGAGTTACCAGTAAGAAAAGACTGTACCACAGGATACATACAAAACCCTAGAAAAATAAAAAATAGAATTCTCAAATATGTTTAAGTAACTGTGTTAGTCCATTTTTCATTGCTATAAAGGATTACCTGAGGCTGGATACTTTGTAAAGAAAAAAAGTTTATTTGGCTCACAGCTCTGCAGGCTGTACAAGAAGCATGGCACCAGCATCTGCTTCTGGTGGGGGCCTCAAGAAGCTTTTACTCTGCTTTACAGAAGGTGAAGTGGGAGCAAGTGTATCACATGATGAGAGAGGGAGCAAGATAGAAGCCAGGCTCTTTTAAACAACCAGCTATCACATGAATGAACAGAGTGAGAACTCATTACTGCAACAAGGCTACCAAGCCATTCATGAGGGATCTGCCCCAGTGTCCCAAACACCTCCTACTAAGCGCCACTTTTCAACATTGATTTGGAGGGGACAAACATCCAAACTATATCAGTAACCCACAAGAAGCTAGGAGAGAAAACAATCATAACAAGTATGCCAGGCGCAGTGGCTCATGCCTGTAATCCCAGCACTTTGGGAGGCCGAGACGGGCAGATCACCTGAGGCCAGGAGTTCGAGACCAGCCTGGCCAACATGATGAAACCCCACCTCTACTAAAAATGCAAAAATTAGCCAGGCATGGTGGCAGGTGCCTATAGACCCAACTACTTGGGAGGCTGAGGGAGGAGAATCACTTGAACCTAGGAGGTGGAGGTTGGGGTGAGGCAATACTGCACTCCAGCATGGGTGACGGAGTGAGAGTCTGTGTTTCAAAACAAACAAAAAAGAACAAACAAAAGATGAGCAGAGTTATTATAAACACATTAGCCAAATATGTGCTGTCTGAAAGAAACTTCATATATAATAGTACTGGTGAGTTGAAAGTTAAAGGTTAGAAAAATATATACTATGCAAATATTAATGAAAAGAAGCAGGACTGTTCATGTTTGTATTAGATGAAACAGACTTCAGAACAGAGAAAATAACCAGGGGCATTATGTAATGATAGACATGTCAATACACAAAGAAAACAATGTGATCCTAAACTTATATACATCTAACAAAAGAGCTACAAAATACGTGAAATAAAAAGATACAGACATTAAAGAAGAAATAGACAAATCCACAGCTATAGTTGGAGACTTCAGCATACCTTTTTCAGTAATCGATAGACCACTTAGAACACCTCACCTAAAAATAGCAGAATATAAATTATTTTTGAGCTCTCACAGAACTTAGATACATTATAACCTGGGCCATAAAACTAACCTCCACCAATTAGTAGAGTTGAAATCAGAGGGTGCTGTCTGATCACAGTAGAATCAAACAATTAATTAGTAGAACAATATAAGGAAAATCTCCATACTCTTAGAAATAAACAACATACTTTTAAATTATCCGTTATTAGGGAAGAAGTCTCAAGAGGAAAAAAACATAGAACTGAGTGAAAAGGAAAATATGACATCAAAGTATGTGGCATGTGGCTAAAGCAGCCCTGAGAGGGAAATCTGTTGCACTAAAAACTTTCAGAAAGATGGTTTTAAATCATAAGGTCTAACTCAAGAAACTAGATAGGAAAAAATAAATACAAAGTAAGAAGGAAAGAAATGAAAATAAGAGAAGAAATCAGTGCAGTTGAAAATAGGAAAATGAGAGAAAATTAATGATAAAAAAATCTGGTTCTTACCAAAAAATTCGTCAAAATTAATCTGTAGTGAGACTAATAAAGAGAAAGAAGACACAGTTGCATATCAGGAATAAACAGAATTATCAATTCAAACTGCAGAAATCAAAAAGATACGCAAATACTATGAATAAATCTCCGTATGTAAGTGACAACTTGAAGTGACTCAATTTTTTTTTTTTTTTTTTTTTTTTTTTTTAAAGACAGGGTCTCCCTTTGTCTCCCAGGCTGGCATGCAGAGTGGTGCAATCTCGGCTCACTACAACCTCCACCTCCTGGGTTCAAGCAATTCTCTTGCATCAGCTCCCAAGTAGCTGGAATTACAGGTGTGCGACACCGTACCTGGTTGATTTTTGTATTTTTTGTAGAGATGGGGTTTCACCCTGTTGGCCAGGCTAGTCTCACCTGGCCTCAAGTGATCTGCCCTCCTTGGCCTCCCAAAGTGTTGGGATTACAGGTGTGAGCCACTGTGGCTGGCCTGAAATGAACCCTGTTTCTAAAAAGCACAAACTACTACAACTCACACGATATGAAACAGATCATTTTAATGGCCCTATAATTATTAAGGAGACTGAATTCGTAATTTTAAATCTCTAAGCTAATCTCCACACCCAGTTTCACTGGAGAATTCTTACCAGAATTGACACCAGTTCTACACAGATTGATCCAGAAAATATAAGAAGAAGGAACATGTTAATTTGTTTTATGTGGTTATTACCCCAGTATCAAAACCAGATAAAGACAGTATTAAGCAAATGGTAGGTCAAGCACCATGGCTCATACCTGTGATCCCAGCCCTTTGGGAGGCTGAGGCGGGTGGATCACCTGAGGTCAGGAGTTCAAGACCAGCCTGACCAACATGGTGAAACCTCATCTGTACTAAAAATACAAAAATTAGCAGGGCGTGGGGTGGGGGGTGCCTATAATCTCATCTACTCAGGAGGCTGAAGTAGGAGAATTGCTGGAACCCAGGAGTGGGAGGTTGCAGTGAGCCCGAGATCATGCCATTGCACTCCAGCCTAGGTCAACAACAGCGAGACTCCATCTCAAAAAAAAAAAAAAGAAAGAAAAAGCAGATATTCCCTGTGAATATAAATGTAAAATTCTTATCAATAAATTATTAAGTGGAATTGAGCTGTATGTACAAAGAATTATGCATCATCACTAAGTGGGATTTATTCCAGGGATGCAAGGCTGATTCAATATTTAAATATCAATGTAATTATCATTTTATCAGACTAAAAGATTACATGACTACAGCAGTTGATTCAGAAAAAGCATTTGATGAAATTCAACACCCATTCGTGTTGAAAATCCTCACAAAAATAGAAAGAGAGGAGACCTTTGTAGACTGGATAAATCAGCATTTTACAGAAATCCTATAGCTACCATTATACCTAATGGAGAAAGCCTGAATTCTTTCTGCCTAAAATCAGGAACAAGGCAATCACAACTCATATTTGACATTGTACTGGAAGTTCTAGCCAATGGACCAAGGCAAGAAAAGGAAATAAAAGGCATACAGATAAACGAATAAAGCTGCCCCTATGGGAAATCATAAGGAATCTACATACAGACACCCAAATAAATAGGCCAGGCACAGTGACTCATGCCTGTAATCCCA